CAGGAGGCTGAGATCTGAAGTTTAAGGTTCAAAGCTAGCCCAGGTAGGAATGGCCATGAGATTCTTATCTCCGATTAACCACCAAAAGCCCAAAGTGGAGTTGTGGCTCAAGTGGTAGAGCACTAGTCTTGAGCACAAAATCTCAGGGACAGCACCCAGATCCTGAGTTCAAACCCCAGGACAAGCAAAAAGAAAAAAAGCATAAAAATTCAACAAATTAATATATGACAAACAAGATACATCACAGGATCAAGTGGATGTGATACTGTTTATTTTTACTGGTAATTGCAGCTGAATCTTATACAGCGCCTACTAATTGCCAGTCATACTTCTGACCTGCTCGTGGAATCCATGTATCTCCTTAATGACATGGATGCCTTCATTCATTTTCCCATGTTCTGTGGCATGAGTGTTCTAAGAAGAAGAGCTAGGTTTGTCAGTCCAGGGAGAGTGTACTGAGTCTGCTCTCCTGACCTGGTGTTTTAGTGATAAGCACTGAGCTAAAAGTTGAGGTTTTAGTAGGGCAAGCTCTTCTTAAAGACCTATTTACAATAATAATGGGAAGTAGTGCTCAAGCCTGTAATCCTAGCTACTTAGGAGACTGAGATCTGAGGATTGCTTGTGCAGACAAGTCCATGAAACTCTTATCTCCAATTAACCATCAAAAAGCCAGAAAAAGAAGTATGGCTCAAGTGGTAGAACACTGCCTTGAACAAAAAAGCTAAAGCCCCACAACCAACCAAAAATAAAAATAGAAATGAAGGAGGAGGAGGAGGAGGAGGGGGAGAAGGAGGGGAAAGAGCAGGAGGAGGAGGAGGAAGGCCTATGTAAGCAAGGAACAAACAATATTGTTAGCTGGAGGTACTGTTTTTCAGAAACACCTTAAAAGCAGACTTCTGTATAGATCCATAATTCTATCATTAATCCAAATTATATAAAAGAGCTAGTGGGTACAGACAAGATACTTAGATCCTCCAAAATACTGTTTTGCTATCTGAAAACTATACCAGGTTACTGCTAATGCTGGATTGTCTAAGATGCTGAAATATAGCTGCCATTCTACATCTATTTCAAATTTGTGTTCAGAAGTAAGCTAATACCTTTCTCCTCCAAGGATGATTTGTTGACCAGCAGAATTTCAGGCCTACCTTAAGAGCTGCCAAATATGAATTTATACTTTATAATATCCCTTGGAAATTCCAGTGCTCTGTAAAACTTGAGAAGCTTTTAGCTAGAGTAAAAAAATACAAAGTCAGCATTTGGATCTCTCAGTACCATCTTTTGGGAGCCCAATCATTATGTACCGCTGAGATATTTGCGTTGGTCATTTTTGTGTAGTTATATCCATGGTATTAGAGATGTTAGTTCATCATGGTTGAGGGTGGGATAGAGTAGAGCAGCCCACATCACAAAGGCCACGATGCAGAGAAAGGAGAGGGAACTGGAGACCATGTATAACCTCAAAGCCTCCGCGCTGCCCAACTTCCCCTGTAACCTACTTCCTCCAGGCAGTCCGCCCTCCCAAAGTTTCCATGGTCTCACAAAACAGCAGCACTAGTTGAGCTGTATGCCTTGAAAATATGAGCTGGTGGGGGACATTTCATATTAAGGTATAACATTCTGCCCCTGGGCCCTGCAGGCTCATGTTCCTCTCACAAGGCAAATTCTCCAAGACTCTCCAAAGTCTTAACTGTTCCAACAATGGTCAAGAGTCTAAATATAAAGTCTTTTATAAGACTCAGGGAACTTTAGACTCCTGTAAAAAAAAAAAACAGTAAAATCATATATACTTCTTCTGGATTCTGGTGCTCACATCTGGAATCCTAGCTACTCAGGAGGCTGAGATCTGATGCTGCTTGTGGTTCAAAGGTAGCCTGAACAGGAAAGTCAGTGAGACTCTTCTCTTCAATTAACCACCAAAAAGGCAGAAGCAGAGATGAGTCAAGTGGTAGAATGATAACCTTGAGTATAAAAGCTCAGGGATAGTACCCAAGCCCTGAGTTCAAACCCCAGGACCATTACGTACATGCATACACACACACACACACACACACACACGCACACACACACACACACAGAAGAATTTTTGTTTTTGGCTGGGCAATGGATGTATCTGATGTGCAGCAAACAGGTTCAGAAAGAAAAGGAGCTCATGTCTTCTTTCATATGCAAATCTTTTTAAACTTCTTTTTTGTTGCCAGTACAAGGCCTTGAATTCAGGGTGCTGTCCCTAATTTTTTTCACTCAAGGCTAGCCCTCTACCACTTGAGGTACAACTCCATTCTTAGGTTTTGGCTGGTTAATTGGAGATAATAATATCACAGACTTTCTTGCCTGACTGGCTTTGAACTACAATCAGACCTCAGCCTCCCAAGAGACTAGAATTATGGCCATAAGCCACTAGTGCCTGGAACACATGTGTGTCTTACACCTAAAACAAATATATATAAATACATACAGGTCTTACCAAACTTACTATGGTATAAGCTGGCATGACATATATCTAAAACATAAACATATATATGTAGATATATACATATATATGTATATATCTACATATATATTTATATGTATATATATATATGTCATACCAAATTGACTAGAGTATGGTATAAGCTGTGGTGAGTTTCCATACCAAAACCCCATCAAAAAGCTAATAGTTTGGAAGTGGCGCTGTAGCTCAAGTGGTAGAGCGCTTGCCTTGAGCTGAAGAGCTGAGGGACAGCGCCCAGGCCCAGAGTTCAAGCCCCACGACCGACAAAAAAAAAAAAAAAAAAAAAAAAGCTAATAGTTTAACAAAAATGACTATCAAGAAACTGAAATGTGTCTTGACTAGAGCAGGTGGATGCTAATGGGAGAGGAAATGAATAGAGAGAAGAATAGTGGGAGAATGTATATATCAGTCTCAATAGATGTATATGAAAATGGAACTTGGAAACTGAATGAGATAGGTGAGTTTGGGTTTGGGATAGGTGCAGGAACAGAAACAGATGGAGGGAGAATGATTGCTCAAGAAGCGCTGTGCACATAAATCAAAACTCTTCTGTAAAACTATTTGAAGGTAACAATAAGAAACATGGTAAAAATTGGGCAAAATGCATCCAACAGGTCACAAAAGACCCTGTGGATATTATGAGAGGTACAGGGAGAACATGCCCAACACCAGTGATTAGGGAAATGTGGATCCAAATTGGCATTAAATTCATTAAAGTGACAAAACCAGAGAGGACTGATTGTGCTAGATTCTAAGAGGTGATGTGCTTAGAGTTTCCTGGAGGTTTACAGAGCAGAGGCTTGTTTTCCAAATGGCGGTGCAGGGAGATGGTATGCACCTCTAGCTCCCAAGTGCATGCCAACAGCAGAAGGCAGTGACACACACCTATGTGCATACTACATTGCTCACCATAGTCAAAGAAGCCAGAAGCACCCTAAGGACCCCTTGGCAGGTGAATGTACACAGAGAACATCACATGTATGCACAGTGGAGTATTTAAATGCCATGGGCTGTACACGAGAATATGTGCCCACACTGGATTATTGACACATAGTGGGCTATACAGAGAACATGGCATGCACACACAGTGGATTATTTACACATAATGAGACTCGGAGAACATGGTATATGCACACAGTGGAGTATTGACACACAGTGGGCTGTACTCAAAGACATGGCATGTGCACACAATGGACTATTGACACACAGTGGGCTGCACACAGAGAGCACAGAGTGTGCACAAGTGGAATATTGACACACAGTGGACTGTACATGGAGAACACAGCATGTGCCCACAGCGGAGAACTTATACACAGTGGACTGTACATGGAGACATGACCTGTTCACACAGTGGAATTACAAACTGTGGACTGTACACAGAGAACAAGGTGTGTACACACAGAGGGGTATTGATACACCATGGGGTGTACATGTAGAACACGGCCTGTGCATGCAGTGGAGTATTTACACACAGTGCACTGTACACGGAGAGCGTGGTGTGTGCATGCAGTGGAGTACTGACACACAGTGGGCTGTACATGGAGGACACAGTGTGGTCACACAGGGGAATACTGACACACAGTGAACTGCACACGGAGAACACAGCATGTACACACAGGGTTGTATTGACACACAGTGCACTGTACACGGAGAACATTACATATACATATAGTGGAGTATTTACATACAATGGACTATACACAGGGAACACGATTTGTGCATGCAGTGGAGTATTTACAAACAGTGGACTATACCCACAGAACATGACATGTGATTGCAGTGGAGTATTCACACATAGTGGACTACATGGAGAACACAATACATGCATGCAGTGGAGTATTGATCCTGAGAAGAAAGGTAAGAGGCTGATTGTTGGGCCTACAATGGCCGTTCCTGAGAATGGTTGGCCCTGAGGCCCTCCTGGACTTCTCGGAAATCCTGTCTCCTCAATCCGGCTGCCTGAAACCTCATTCTGGCCCTCAGCACCTCATCCCAGCTGCCAGGGGACCTCTATTGGCCCTGGTCATTCATCTCGTGGTGCCTGCAGATCCCACTGGCCAGCCTTGAGCCGTTTACCCTGGGTGGCCCAACACCCAATCTGGACCCCAGATCCTCTTCCCAGGTTGTCTAGAGACACTGTCTGGCCCTTAGCCCATGACCTCCCTAACACCAGGGCTGGAAGACCTTTGACCCCTTGCCCTGGAGTTTTCCCAGTCTCAGCCAGCTGACTCTTGGCCTCTTGCCAAGAACATGTCCAGCCCTCAGCCCCTAGACCTGGTCTGCCCAGACACCCTGCCATTTGCATTCCTCCTATTAGAGGCTCAGCATGCTCTGAGCTGTGCACTCCACATTGAGGGGGTTACCTTGGGGCTCAGGGTAGCCCACTGGGAGCTTCTCTCAAGTAGGTAGACTCATGAGGGTACTGGTGTGGCCAGGCTGTGGGTGACAGGCTTCCTGGCCATGTGTAGATGTCTTCTATGAAAGACATTTTGTTTTATTTTGTGAGAAATGAGACAGTGTCTCAATCAAGCCCAGGCCATCCTTGAACTTACATTCCTCCTGAGGAAACCACCACACTGCTCATTTCTTTGCCACATTATAGGGGCAGTGTGCCTAACTCCCAGTGTGCTGCTGAGGAAATGCCTTGGGCAGTTGGCAGTGGCCAGGGGAAGCCACAAGGTCTCTGAATTGATGAAGTGGATGTGCAGCCTGGCCTGGTACCTTGTTGCAAGACTAGAGGGATCAGATTCCTGGAAGTTGAACATGCACAGTGTTTTGTTCTGGTAAGTTAGCCCAGGCAGGTGTCAGTGTTGTGTAGGATAGGAGGACTTTAAATGTGGTTTTTATCCGGTCTTGACAACTGAACGGATTTAGGCTTAGAAGGGGGGAGGGGTGACAGAGTTCAGTTGTCTCTGACCACATACATGTGCTCATGTGTATATCCTCTCTGCCCACCCCATTTTTTCTTTGTGTTGTGTATGGGGAATTGATGCTAAAGCTCTTGTTAAATGTGGAATTCAGAGGTAAATAATCATTCTTCTCTTAACTATCTTGAGAACAGAGCTTACTGTGTGCCTTAGGCTGGACTTTGGTGTAGCTCTCCTCATGCCTCTTTTTCCCAAGTGCTTGGATTATGGGGTGCCTGGCTCATTTATTTTAATTTTTTGGCAGTACTGGGGTTTGAACCCAGGGCATTGCCTTTGGTATACAGGCATTTCAACCTTAGAGCCACACTTCCCACCTTGGCCCTTTTTCCATTATTTTTCTTATAGGTTCTCACTTCCCCCTTCCTTCTACCTATGTCTCCCAGGGAGCTGAGATTACAGAAATGAACTGTCATACTCAAAGGAGTCTAATTTTTAAAATCTTTCGAAGTATCCTGGTGAGAGAAGATTTTAGGATACGATTCTTTGTATTTTACTCTAAGCTTGCTGATTAGCCTAGCTTCTTTTGCCTTCTGATTGTTTTCATTAATTTATCAGAGATAGCAGGAACAAATAACCAGATCCTACAATGGCTACAAGATCTTATACATCTGACCTTACCTCTGCTCTTTCTTCTCTACTTCTACCTGTAGTTAGCCTGCTTTGAGCTTGAATTATGTTCCAGATTGGCTTTTTCCACTTCTGTTAACACAGAGCTATAAATTAGGCATACAAGTTTTCCTTTGACTTCAGTAGCAATAACAAAAATCACTTTTCTTGCAAAGATTACTTGTGTCAATTTTTCCTTGTTGTGGCAATTTTTAGGATGTAATACCACTTAAGTGTTAATACCGTTCAGTGTGTCAGCAGCAGGGATTCCTTTGCTTTGATCGTTGTTCTAATTGTCTATCTTGGATTTGGAACATTTCAATGTTCATATTGTTGAGTCTTGAAGTCTTCCCTGTGTTCTAGAATTTCCTTAATCTACACCTGAGGTTTAGTTTTTGTGAGGCTTGTTGATCATGGATGTGTAGCTGTAAGCCAGAAGGAGTGGTGGACTGGCTGTTGTTCACATTTAACCACTGCCCTTGTCCTGCCTTTGCAGGCATTGATTCTGACTCCCAGAGGCCATACATTTAGTGGGTATTCCTATGGGGGTTGTGCCACCGGGTTGCTGACCACTTCTTCTGTGGCCAATTCTGTGCTTGGACTTGGTGGCATGCTTGTTTTCCTAATTTCCCTTTGGAAACAGACAGTTTTGGCTCAAATAACTGTGAAGATTGTACCTGTGGGCTCAAAGGGGGTTTAGGGGAAGAGGTTATCCAAAACTCTGATGTCTGCAACAGTTGATGGGGTGTGGGAGGTTGGCTCTGACCTTTCTTTGCCTTCCAGAATGATGTTAGCCATGGAAGACTTGGGGGGGAAACACTACCATCTTTTCCAGCATGAGGACTTGGAACTTCATTTCTTAGACAGTGGAAGAACTTTTCCACTTCTGTTCCAGGTTCTCTACAGATGCAGTAGCAGCAGAGCAGGCAGGTGAACTGTGTATGCCCTGTGAGATATCTGGGTAGATACATGGGCATAGAGAGGCCTGGAAAGTCCTGAATACCTCAGGTAAGCAGCCCAGAGGGATAGGCTGGTAAGGGTAATGTCTAGGGAGAAACTTGGGCCTAAGTAGGGCTTGTTCCCATACTATGTCATTGAGGCAGCTATCTGTCCTCCAGATCTCATCCTGGTATACTGACATATTTTGGGTGATTGTAGGAGGCCAAGGAATGCTGTAAACCATTGTTATAAAGGCTTCCTCACCCTGATGAGTGCTCTTTTCCTCATGAGTGCTCTTTTCCTGGTGAGTATGTGCTCTCCTCCTGGTGTATATGTTCTGCTAGTGAGTGCTCTCCTCCTGGTTGAGTGTTCACCATTTTACTCCCACTCGTGGACTAGTGGATGCTGATGACATTCTTGGAGAGCCTGGGAGGAGGAGCATCAGTGTGTCTTCCTCTTTTTTTTTTTTTTTAGAAACAAAGGACTTTATTGGTCACAGCAATAGCAGTGGCCCAAGAACCCCCATCTTCTTGTCCTGGTTCTCTGAGACCCAATTCACGCAGCAGGGTAACATGAAGACAGCTGAGTGATCACTGCTCATGCAGTAAGTTGTATGGTGAGAACGGAACCTCAACTTTAGGAAACCTGAACACTTTATAATACAAAATAGTATGGGTGTTCTTTATCCAAAGAGAGACAGTATCTTCTATAGTGGTTCACAATACAAAAATATTTTAGAAGTTAGTTCAGGACTAAAGCAGTCATTGCCTTTTGTGGCAAAACATGGACATTGAGAGCTATGTGAAGAACTGCCTCCTCAACAGATGTTTCAAATAATTTATTGAAAAAAAATAATAAATTCTGTGTATCATATATGATACTTTCCCATAAGAAAAAATTTAACTTGATTTTTGAAAATTTCACAGAACTGTAAACATTTTTATTTTTACTTTTTTTTTTCTTTTGCCAGTTTTGGGGCTTGAACATTGGGCCTGGGCACTGTCCCTGAGCTCCTTTTGCTCACAGCTAGCACTTGAGCCACAGCACTACCTTCTGGCTTTTTCTATAATTAATTGGAGGTAAGAGTCTCACAAACTCCTCTGCCCTGATTGGGCTGGCTTTGAACCCTGATGCTCTGATCTCAGCTTCCTGAGTAGCTAGTATTACAGGTGTGAGACACCGGTGCTCGGCAAAAGTTTGTATTTTTAAAAAGATGACAAAGCAGTGAAACTACCACAGTGTTATATGTGTTTTCTTCATTTTTCTACTTAGGAAAAAGGCTAAAAACATTTAATATATTTTCTCATGATTTTTCTGCTAAAAGGATATACAAAAGTGGATGAATCTATCTTTTCTTTGTTCAAAATATTTTAAACATTAAAGTCTAATGACATGTTACAATACATATATTTGTATGATGTTCCTATTTCTATAACAGTTTCTCTACACTCTATGAACAGTGCATACATGATTCTGTGTAAATCCTTACAGTGTTTCATTGTTACAGAACTTGAGTTCAAGTCAAATAAGGGAAAGACTATGTCTAAGTCAGTCCTCACCTGTTTTCACAGCCATACTGGAGCCTGACCAGGTGATGGTGCTGTTAGCCCAGCTTAGGAGGCCTAGAGGTAAGTCAAGCCACCCTTTGAATTGCAGATTCACCTTCTTGTTAGACAAAGATAGGATATGCAGATACACTGTGATTAAGCCCCTGGGAAATCCTGCCTCTCTTGGTGCCTTTTGTTTTATGTTGGGGCTTTGTCCTGACTCAAGCATGAGGTTTTGGTCTTTAAAATTTGGTGTAAGCTCTAGTCTAGGCTGCTGGTCTATGAGACAGGAGTCCACCATGTAGACACCGGCCTTTAAATAAAGATTCCTGATTTAAGCTTTCAAAATGTGGCTTCTCTGGATTTGCATCTGAGATACCTTATAACACAAGTACATGTTAATGAACATGACCAAAGTCTTAGTTTAAAATATTATTATAGCACCAGTAGAATTTGACTAAATGTGAACCAAATTCATAATACGTTCTCTAAAATCCTATTCAACAACTTGAAGTTTGTTATGTTTGTATATCTCCTGCGTATGAGAGAAAATAGGTTAATTCTGTAGCAGGACACCACAAAAAAAAAGAAAGAAAGAAAGCATCATTTTTTTCCATATGTAACTAATCTATTGTGCTAATATATGTGCTATTGTGCTGTATATATGCAGATAATTCAAAAGCATTGAAGAGAGAATAGCACCTTAGAAACAACCATAACATAAATAGTATAACAAAAAAAATTAAGTCTAATAATCTCTTTACATCTCTTTTCTTATTTGTTTCCTGGACCTAGCTCATTCACTTACATAAAATTATTTATGGAGCCCTATATTATAAATCAAATGTTTGTATAAAGAAAAACCACATTAGATGTTTGACAAGCAAAAATAATTTGATTAAATTACCATAGCTAAGATATGGAACCAACCCAGATGCCCCTCAGTAGATGAATGGATCAAGAAAATGTGGTTTATATATACACAATGGAATTCTATGCCTCCATCAGAAAGAATGACATTTTCCCATTTGTTAGGAAATGGAAAGGCTTGGAAAAAATTATATTAAGTGAAGTAAGCCAAGCCCAAAGAAACAAAGGTCCCATGGTTTCCTTTATTTGCAATATCTAGTATATGCATGAGTCAAGCAGGACATGTCAGATAATGTGATGTTAGGAAAATGAACCCTTAGATAAGCATTTATATGTTTTTTTTTCTTTCATGCATTGGTTTCTAACTCATTTATAAGATTATTTCTTTGTAGCTTTGTATGACCCTCCCCCACAGTACAACCCCTGCTTTCACTATATTTGATGTCGGTATAATTTGTGGAGGAGATGGGGAAAAACAAGTCGGTTAAGGATACAGGTAGACCCGATGCAACTATGAGAAGTACAAGTTGTCATGTCAAAAAGGAACTTTACAGCTTTGGTGCGGGGGGGGGGGGGGAAGAGGGGGGAGGGTTAGGATTGGGAGGGCGGGGGGAGGCTGGGAAGGGATG